GATGACCTCTGGCAGAAGCAATATGGGCGTAATGCATCCATCCTTGCTCTACTTGACCTGATGGAGGCCTTCAGTACCACTGACTATAGAAGGCCTTTCTGGAGCCGGAGAGGACAGGACTGTACTCCTTCTTTCATGGTTGCTTCCACTCAACTATTGATCAGGAGCAAGATTTTATTTATTTAATTTATTTATTTATTTATTTGTTTGTTTGTTTGTTTATTTATTTATTTATTTATTTATTTATTTATTTATGCATGCCACATCCTTGGTCCCTATATTGTGAGGTGCCACTGGAGTCAGTACTGCTTAACAACTACATGAAACGACTGGGTGAGGTTGTCCATAGCCAGGGCATAAGGTTATCAGGAAATGTGCATTATATTGTTTTGTGTTTTTAACTTTGAACACTGCTCAGGGTCATATACCCATGTCTATGTGAAATCCGTGGCAATGTAAATTTACCAAATAAATAATAATACCCTAGTACAGGGGTGTCAACTTGATGTCACTGAGGGCCACATCAGGGTTGTGTTTGACCTTGGGGGGCAGGGAGTGGAGTGGGTGTGGCCAGGGAGCATGGCCAACTCGACATCACTCATGTCAGGGGCGTCTGTAGTGGCCTGAGTGCTCTGCTGGCGAAAATGGAGCTCGGAAGGGCTGCTCCTGGCCCTAGCGAGCTCCATTTTTGGCTGCGATGGCTTCCTGCAACCCTCTGCCAGTGAAAATGGAGCTCGGGAGGGCTGCATCCCAAAAAGCTTGGTTTTTGCTGGCAGAGGCACCGCGGGCCAGTCGTTCGCTGTTTCCAGGGCAGCCCCGCGGGCCAGATCTGCTGGATCCTGCAGGCTGGATCCAGGCCCTGGGCCTTGATTTTGACACCCCTTCCCTAGTACTTTCTAAAATAATAGTGGGAGCTATAATCTGTATATGTCTGTATCAATCTGTATTGCCCGATTTATGTATTATACTAAGCCAAAGGTAAGCAAAAAACCCCAAAACTTTAGGGATTAGCATTTAATTCTTTTTTTTGGTGGGGGGGTATGGTTTCTAAAGGAGGGGTCCCTAAACTTTCTGCCATCAAGTCTCCCTTTAGTTAGGATAGTTTTATTGTACACATGTCCCTTACAAATCCAAACACCACGATGAATACAAATGAACAATGAAAACAATGCAATGGAACTTTAGGAAAGGTGGGTTTATTGTAACCATGTAACTAAAAGGTTATTCACAACTTCTCCTGGTCTCTGCACTTCCCCAAGGATGCACCTCAACTTTGGGAAACTCTGATCTAGAGAAAGCCCATCCCTCCATGTAAAAAAGAAATGGTGCAGTTTTGTGATTTTTTAAAGAGATTTAAATCCTTCAAGGCATGGTTTTTACCCTGACCAGCTGAATGAATGAAGGATATGAATCTCCTATTTGTGTCATAGTCCATTCACAGATTATTCCATCCTGGAATATTATAATTATCCTAGAATTGAATGTGGTGTTTACCCTGAACTATTGAATGTATAGAATTTAGGGCTGCTGGACAGATTTGTTGAGTTATTGGAAGGGGTGGGCTGCTATCGGTGCTCCCCCGTTCAGGCGAACCAGCAGATAATTTTATCATTTTTAATAGCCCGTTTGGCTATTAAAATCCCTGCCCTCACTGGCCCCGCCCACTCCACCCGCCCCTCCCAGGAATCCCCACATGGCCCATTTTGGATGCCAGGTAAGTACAGGGCCTGCATTGAGACTCGGGAAGGGCGAAAATGGGCCTCCAGAAGGCCGGAAACGGCCCATTTCCAGCCTCCAGAGTGCCTCCAGAGCCCAGGGAGGGCAAAAATGCCCCCCACACCGTGGTACAGGAGGCCAACTAGGCCATGCTCACCATGGCCACACCCACCCAGCAATCGAGCAGAGAACCGGTTGCTAAAATTTTTGAAGCCCACCACTGGCTATTAGTACACTGCCACAAGAAGAGAGGTGTTTACATTTTCTCTTGTTCATTAAGATTGTCAATGTTTTAAACTGCCAGGAATCTCAGAAGCTGCAAAGCAGCTGGAGAAGCCATAATAGGCAGCAATATTATGGTAAGGTGACCAACCGTCCTTCTTTAGGGAGGAAAGTCCTCCTTTTGTAAGTTCTGTCCTCTCTAGAAAAGTGTCCTCCTACATGTCCTCCTTTTTGATATTTGAAGACTAATCTGTAAATCTCCATGTTTGATCGAAGCTGATCCATTGTGTGTGATGTGACGTATTTGTATTTGACATGACGATTCGTCAAGGCCCATTACAGTGCGGTGAGACGCAATTATGAGACGCATGCGCTCCACACTCAAAATTGTTTTGAGTGTGCTGCACGCAAGAGTGCACCATGCACAAGAGTGCGCCATGTGCAAGAGTGCGCCACACACAAGTGGCTTTGTTTTTTTTTTCTTCAATTTATTTGTGTCCTCCTTTTCATTGTAAAAAAGTTGGTCACCTTAATTATGGTGAAGCATAAGGGGAAAAGGCTTGGCTGCCTCTCTTATTCCATCACATTCAATTCCAGGGTAATTAATGAACAAGTGATGTGAATCAAGGATAATAAGCATAGGTGTATCCTATTTAGTACCTCTGAAGTTTAAGAGCTTTTTTCCTTTTACTGACATCACAGCATACTCAGCACTCTAAAATATTCATTTTATTGCTTGCTAATTTAAAATAAAGATATTATGACAATCAGGCTCGATTTTTATGAAGCTACTTTTATGTATTTGGAATTAGTACGGATTCAAACAGGATGGACATCTTATGTTCCTGTCTTCAGGTTTCGCAGATAATCAACTCTGCAAATTCAGGATGTCTTAATCTCCTGAATCACAAAAATAAGTATGCATGTGTTCATGTGGGGACCAAGGATACAGACATGGCTTGTTCATACAAAGCCTTTGAAAAATTGCTTGGAAAAGGGTGGGCGATGGCCTGAGAGTGCAGCATGGAATTAGGACCGTATGTTCTCAGAGCAATTCTTCCCTAGACAAACACTTGCTCCAACCTAGGTCTATTTTTAAGGAAACAGAGAATATTCAATGTTGAATTCTAAAAAAATTGCTTTTTAACCGCTTGGACTGTTTTAGCCTAAATTTCCAACTTAATCTTTGTTAACTTGATTGATACACAATACTTAAAGATATATAGTATATCACCCTAGATATGTGGTTGAATATTAAACTAGAATCTAGCTAGCACGGGAGCTACATATGAAAATTCTGACATTTGAGAATGAAGCCTAGTTCATAAGCTTCTGAATAAGTAAATAACCCCCCCAAATTAGTAAATAAGCCCCATAAAGCTGTATTTGGGAGTACTAGCATTAAGTAGTTAGTATGAACCAAGTATTTTAGAGAAAGAAAAATGAGCTCCTGTAATGAGCCTGTTGAACAGAAACAGTGGATTATACATATATTTAAGCAACACCTCAAGTAGCAGAGGATTTAATATATGGGGTTAGTGACCATAATTGCAACTGGCAACTCAGTCAATTAAGAAAAGCAGTTGGCAAGTGAAGTAAATTGTGTTTATGATCGAACTTCAGCTTTCCTTTGCTTTACAGACTTGTAAAGGTTGTAAATGCAAGGATTGTTGTATTTTTTAACCACTTTCATAACTGCAAAGGGGCGCTAAAAGAGGAGGCTGCCAAATGAGAACCACCTATAAAATACGTTTATGTAACAAACCGCAAAATTTAATTCTTATCCACAGTCGTGTATTTTGGAGGCTTAATTATAGGAGTACTGGTAGTCCTTGATTTACAACAATCTGATTAACAACTGTTTGAAGTTATGATGAGGCTGAAAAAAAATTATTTACAATCCACATGAGCACTGCAGCGTCCCCACTGTCATGTGATTAAAATCCGGGCATTTGGCAACTGGCATGTACGGTGAGTCCTGACTTACAACAGTTCATTTAGTGACCACTCAAGCAATGGCATTGAAAAAAAGTGACTTACGACCATTTTAATCATGACTGTTGCAGTATCCCCATGGTCACTTGATCAAAATTCAGGTGCTTGACTGCTGGTTCATATTTGTGATAGTTGCAGTGCCCTGGGGTCATGTGATCACCACAAAGTGTCAGAAGGTTCCAAAAGATGATCACTTACAAACATGTTACTAACTGAACAAATGCAGTGATTCACATAACAACTGTGCCAAGGGTCAAAACTCACTTAACTATTGTCTCATTTAGCAACATAAATTTTTGGGCTCAATTTTGGCCTTTAAATCGAGGACTACCTCAATTCCTGGTTGCAGCATCCCAGAGTCGCATAATCTCCATTAGTCACCTTCCCAGGAGGCTTCCAACAAGCAGTCAGTGAAAAAAAAACACCCTGGGATTTGCTTAATGATTGTGTGATTCACTTAATGACTACATCCATTAGCAATGGAAATTTCATTCCTAATTATGATCACAAATTGAAGAATATCTGTATATCCATCCCAAGAAAGAAAAGTTCATATTTAATCACTAATTAACCTTTCGGTGAATCCAATAGCAAACTATGTTACTGATTCTTTAGGGATACAATTGACGTATTTCAAACCTAATGAACATGATTTATACTTCAGGCGCACGTTCCCAGAAGGCAAGTTTTTCATCTCCTTCTTGTAACTCCCAAAGTGCCTTTCCTGAACAATGAAGAATATAATAATATATATATATATAATAATATATATATATATATATATCTCAGCTCTTCACTTTCAAGGGTTGAGAAACTAACTTTTGATATCAGGTAGTGGTTATAAGCAAACCAAGGGCAACATGTAAATTGGTTTATAGTGAGGTTCTTCTGACCACGATTCCAGCCCAGTTATGTCGTTTTCTTAAACCTTTAAATGATGTCCCAATTTATTTTTATCTGACTTGACCATTTATTTAAATCTGTGCTTTTGAGGATGACCTCACAGGAGTCCATTCAAATGAAGAAACTGGTCACACAACTCAAAAGTTGTGCATTCATGGGTTTTAGTGTCATTAGAATCAGCAAAGTATGAAGAAAAAAACTGCTATATGATTCATATTTATTAACAGGGAAGTTGCAAGTTATTTGGAGGAAGCTCTTAAAACATCAAAAGATGCTCTTCTGCTCAAAGAACATATGGAACACTAAGCATATGCAGATCTGTTTATAGCTGCCTTGGTAAGTATATTTTTAATTCATCTAAATATTTTTAATTCACCTCAACTGGTCCCACAATGTTTTATAGACAGAAACCTCTACAGAAAAAAAATGCATTTTGGTTTCCCTCAGGCAATTTGATGGTATTTCTTTTACAGCGAGGAAATTAAAAAAGAAGAAAGGAAAAACCTGGAGCCATGTTCAGCTATTGGGATTTTTCTGTGTATTTTCCCTAAATTAAAATTACACTCAAGTACTACATTTACATACATACACACTCACAAACACACACACACACTTTCCAGATATACTTCATATATTGATGAATATTCACCTATTAAATAGGAGTTTGAGAATTAGATCATCTTTTATAATCTTTTGTAAAGCATACTATCTAGAGTTTTAGTGTATTGGGAACTGCAGAGAAGGTTTTCAAAACCCATTCGGTTACTTGTGGATATTTCCATATACAGTATATATTTGCCAATTCAGTAATTCAATAGTAAACCAGTATTTACAACCAAGATATGAACTTAAAATACAATCACAAGCTGAATTGTCAACTTATTCATTCTTTTCCCAAATTATTGGAAAATGAAAAATAACTTTATAGAGAACATTTATTCTATTTAAACCTGAAAATGTCAGCATCTAGCAAATTTAATGTAAGCAATAAATTCCTAGCTTCCCTAGGAACTTGTTGCTTACATTTCAAAACAAATTTCAGCCATGATTATAAATTTTATAACATAGGATTTAGTCAAGAGCTTTGATTTATTGAAACTCAAATGAATCAACATCCAATGTAATAAAAAAATTTCCTAGTAAAATGAGTGTTATTGAGCCATTGTGTTTCTTAAGGTATTTATTAGGTCTTATGTATCTATAAAACCTTCAAATGTATGAGAATATCATGTCTGTATAGCAGATAACATTTGTTTCCACAACATAGGCACTAGTTGCTGTGTATTTTGTTCACTTTTTAAAACTTGTTTACAGATGTTAATAGTTAAAGATGGGCACTGAAATTCTAATGACTGCAATGTTTTGGCAGCCAAAATTATTTTTCATAATTGTCAATGAATCATATCATAAGGAAAGCAGAGTTTGAGGATCTAGCATCATCACAATAGTAGAAAAAAGATGCCTTTAACAACTTTTGTAAAGGAGAATAAATGTTAATTATTTGCAAGATAACACATTGAAAGAGGCACCCTGGTTTTAACTGATCTCACTACATTTTCTTTTAGCTTGATTTAGGCTGCATTAAGGCACATGCAATAGGACAATCATGTACATCTTTGGAATTAATCCAATAGAAATAGCAAAATGTACTTTTTTTAAAATTTTCTTTTAAAAACATAATCTGTTTTTTGTTACGAAACTTCTATACAAAATTATAAAATTTACATCATCTGAGCTGCCCAGGAGGTAAAAGTATAATTTCTCCATAGAACTAGTTATTTTCATGATAAGTCAAACAGCCATATAAATAGTTCAGCCATGAAGGAATTTGAGGAGATTATCTTAGTAGAAAACCGACCACGGTTCTATAATAGTGTATTTCCCTTATCCAAAAACCCAGAAATCAACAGCTTAACATTTATGGGAATGACAACAGTGGAAAGTCACTGACAGACAAATGGGAGACATGACAGCAAAGAACTTTGCTCAGTGCACTTGTGCTCTGTTCAAATGCTTGGAATGAAATCGGGCACTTTTCTTCCGCCAAGAAGCACCTTCCCAAGAAATGACACAAGGACAAGATGAATTGGATCGCCGGTCAAATACATATGAGGAGGGTTGAATGGATGGCATTTCCAGGATGCAACAGTAAATGTTTCGACAGCGGAGAGAAGACACGGGAGCAACAATCTGCAGGATGTGAGGCTCTACACAGAAGTGGTCACTCTGTCATTGGCATTATTGACCTCATTTTTGTTTGAATCCAGTCCTTTAGCAGCATTCAGATCATTCCGTAAATTCTCCACTGTCTTTTTCATGTTCTTTAATTCCCCAGGGTGTGGAGTGGCTCGCCTTAGGAGTGTCCGCTAAAAACAAACAGTGGAGTAAATGATTCCTTGTGTCTGCCTTCTTAAAACTGTATTTCTCTATTCATTAAATGGCTTTTTCCAGTTTTAACAGCTAAAAGGTTTATTAGTTAGGTGTATTGTGAAATAGAAACATAACCAATCATCATTGTCATGCTGTAATAGCCGGGGCAAGAAAGAAGAAGAAATGTGTTACAGAGAAAACATCCAGCAAAGGTGCCTTGGAGTCTGCAAAGGTGTTTGTGAAGCACCTGTCTGCAATTCCTTTAAACAGCTGGGAAGGACAGGTGGTGTTTAAGGAGTTGCCAACAGATTCAACATGAATATCAAAGCAAGCTCAGAGGACCTTCGCCATGTCAAATCTGATGGGCTGTACAATCTTACTATACAAAAAGCTGAAGTGCTGCTTTCTCATCTGCTAAGTTCATGAACTTCCTGTCATACAAATGCACAAGACTAACTTGTTATCAGTACTGGTTATGAGGATTAATGTTAATTTATTTGTTCTTAGATGAAATGTCTTGACTAGTTGCTATCACTGAGTCCACCATTCCAAGTTTAAGTACTTATAAAGATGACAGTACTGCTACAGCTGTTTTTTTCTAGCATATGGATTTCATATAGTTACCTATACTGTCTTCAAAAGAATATTTGTATCTCACAAGAAGAAATAGAAAACCTCTTTTCTTGAACAACAGATTCTGCCACAAAAAAAGATTGCAAACTGATTTGAAATACAAAAGTTTCAAAAAAAAAAAAGATTTATGCCATAATATGGGAATCTGATGCTCCAGGAAAGTATATGAAGAGATATTCAATTTGATATTCTGATTATTTTGTCTGGGCTCTTTTAACAATAACTTGAGATGTCGGTCTGATTTATCTCCAGAAATTATAGAGGATTATTTAGTTCTATTCATGCTTAATCTGTCAATTATGCAATGATATTTCTTATCTGAAGAAGTGATATGCATATAAATGTTGTGAATATATACTTAAGATGCTATGTACAATATTTCAAGATGCATCTTTTCTTCAGAACTCTATAACATGGACTCTGGGAAATAAACCAGACATGTCCGTACACATAGCTCCCAATTCTCATATGTGAATAGCCAGATCTACAAGCATACAGGAATTATACTATAATATCTTAACTCATAAGCCACAGTAATTATGTAACCAAAAGAAAACAACCTTACATTATTGTAATATCCCCCAGACTTCTGGAATACAAAAGAATTTTCAATGCCCCACAACATTATATAGTAGCAAATATTGTATTTTTATTTTATTTTAGTTTAAAAGAAAATCACCCATTATGGAAGACCTGTTCTACTGTTAATAGTCTTTTTTAATGGCAGTTAAATTTGCCCTGAAATTATTACGTGATTTCAGCAACCACCTGCTATAATTATACAATCAAGAAAAATTGTTGTAAGTTGTATGTTGGTATATACATGAGGTTTAAACAGCTTAGTGTTAATAATATATTGCTAATACATTTAATAAACACTAAACAGTGTTAATCTATATGGTGCTTAAAATTTTGACAAGTTTTAATGAAATTAAATGAATGAATTCTAGCAACACTGATTGACAAGAGGATAGTATTTATATGAAAATGCACATTCTTAATCAGCCTTATTGATTTGAGGAGGGTAAAGACTGAAATCGACAGAAATTAATTTTCTTTTTTTTATTATTTACTGTTTTATCATAAAAAGTAAAATACAAAACAGAAAAACATTTTTGTTGTTGTTTCAGGG